CTCATTATTTTTCTATACCATGTTCTACAATTGAGTACATTTAGGAGTTAGTCCATATTATACTTGTATTGCTTCAAGAAAACGTCAGTTAAGCCTTTTTAGGACTGAATATGACTTCTCTCTAGATGCATATACCAGTTCAAGGAGGCTCCACTCAGACTATCTTGAAAATAGTAGATTATTAGCTTGTCGTTTCGGGCATACGACGCTATTTTTCTACAGAACATTACCAAGTGGTTCCTCGGACTGCTCAGGCCCTCGTACTTTTTGAAGTTAGGCACTTTGAATATAGGTGGTATGACCACATCAAAAGCAAACACATGTTAGCAATGTCAAGGCCATAAGCATCATACCCTTCAACAACCCTCAATCTTTCCTCTAAGACTCAATATTTATCTTGTAATTCATCAGTTCGAGGGAGCTCAGAGTTTTATCCTGCATAGTAGGCACCTCGGGGATCTTCAGAATTGTCTTGGAGCACAAGTTGCCCTTGCTGAAGTGTGGGATTTTCCTGGATCGTGGGAGTCCCATTCACATTGAACATTATACCTTGTGTAGGCTGAGCTTGTGGAGAATTATCGATTTATGGGAGAGTATATCCTTTAGAAAGACTTTATGGTAGGAATGTTGGGTCTGCATTATGAACTAGCTTCGGGTTATCCTCCATACTGGTCAGTTTTTGTAATGCTTCCAGAACTAGGTCCATCTTGGTTTGCAGTTGGTCCACATCACCTCTTAGTGTTGCTTGATTTAGTTCGAGATTTTCCATTTTCTTTTGGATGTTGCTTCAAGTCCCGTATGCGTATTAGGGAACCAGTTTGCTTGTTTAGCGAACTGTGAAAGGAGGGTGAAAATGAGTTTTTGTGTATGATATGATATGCATGCAAATGTATGATGATGCAAACACATTATGGCTTTATTATATTTTTATAATAAGGGAACCATAAGACAAGCAATTATTTGTAAGCACAAGGAAATATAAAGGTAAGATAAGGAAATAAATTGATTCTCATTCAAAAATAGTGGCAGAGTACAAGGTAATCACATTTCATTAGCCTTAGCTTCTCTTATGTCAACCCTAAACTTTCTTAACATCATTTTACAATACCCGGAAAATTTGGAAACTTTCTTAGGAGTATTGAGAGGGTTCATTTCTATGTGTGATTCTCTCAACTTTTCAGGATGATCTTCAATCACACGATTTACAAAGGTAGTCATATCTGAAAAGTTGTTTCTCCATCTTCAACCATACTAACATGTTCCACTTTGATGTTAGTTCATTGGTGGACCAACCTCTGCATTTTATTGTGCTAGACTTTGTGTGAATAAAGTTGTACTTTAGTGTTAGTTTCCTCGGAAAACAACCTTGCACTATATTGTGCTAGGTTATGTGTGAAACAAGTTGCACTTCGGTGCTAGTTCCTTGGTGGAACAAACTTGCACTCTATTGTGGTGTGAATCAAGTTGCACTTCGTCTAAGCTTTCAGCCATGCTGTTTTAGCCCCCGTTTGTGCATAAAATGTAATTTTTGGCTAGGATTCTTCCTTCCTTATGATATATGTGTGTGTATGTGTGTGTCTGTGTGCGTGTGCGCGTGTGATGTATGTGTGTATGATTATTTTGCAGATTAAAATTGATAATGTAGTGTAAATCGAGAAACAACACTAGATGTGTTGTGATCATACTAATATGTTGCACTTCGGTGCTAGTTCTTTAGTGGAACAACCCTTCTGCTTTATTGTGCTAGATTCCATGTGAATCAAGTTGCAATTTGGTGCTAGTTTACTGTGGAAACAACCTTGCGCTCTATTATGCTAGATTTTGTGTGAATCATGTTGCACTTTGGTGTTAGTTCCTAGGTGAAACAGTCTTGCACTCTATTGTGCTATATCATGTGTGAATCAAGTTGGACTTCGGTGTTGGTTTCCTGGAAAAATAACTTTGCACTCTAATGTGTTATATCTTGTGTGGGACTAATAATAACACTTTTATGTTATGCTTAAATGCATGGAACTAGATCATGTGTGAGTCAATTGGTACCACTTGATGTGTTACATTCCAATATATAGAACCAGACTAACCTGCTAATAAGCATAATGCTACTATGTATGTCGTGTTCTGACGGGAAGAACTAGAATAATGAAATAAATTATTAATAATATGGTTGTATATTCATTTGTATTATGTGTTGATTGAATTAAAAGAGATAAGGCAGTGAGTCTTAGAATAATTAAATAGGTTAATCTTTATGGTTGAAAGGACTCTTAAGATAGGAGAACTTCATTGAGATAGTTGTTTCTCACCCCTATTGTAATAATTTATTTTAAAGATGGGCATGTAGCGGCTTAAGGTAAAGAAAAGATGACCTAAGGAGGCCTGTTGAAGATTTATTTAGCTCACTTTATTTTTTTCGCCATATCATTATCTGATATTTTAGAGTTATGTATTGTACTTTTTAGCATACCATAATATGGATGCATATAGTTGTACTTCTGTAGCCTTTTTAATATTGTATTATGTTTTCGTATCAAGGTTATAACAACTTAATAATGTGGTTTTAGATACACATTTAATTGGGTTGTTACAATCTAGGATACAAGTTAGATTCTATTAGATTTTTATTTGATAAGTTTATTGGTCTAAGTTATAACACATATAAGTTAACCATTTTCTTGCGTGAGTGTTGTGAATTGATGTAGTCAAGAATAAATCAATATATGAGATAAAAATTTAAGTTTTTTGAACAAAAACAAGAAACCCTATTAGGTTTTACAAAAGGGAGAGAAGAATGAAGAAGAAGAATAGAGAATTGGTTAAAACTGTTTTACTATTCACTTTCTCAATAAGGGCTCAAAGATTACAAGTGAATGCGAACAATTAACATCTACCTCTCTCACCCTAATTAGGATTTGCACCACATTACAAAGATGAGAGACTAGCAAGCTATTTATAAGAAAACTAACATACTAACGTAATGAGCTTTTACACACAGGTTCATTACACAAGCTAATTTAGGGAACAAGCTAACTTAAATAATTGGACTTACAAGCAAGACTCAATTCGACATACTAACTTAAATTACAAGTTAATATATTTTGACAGTATGCTTGAATAAACTTCAACTACAACATACACAACTCCTATTGAACCATGGAGATATCCTTGTTGACACTAGAGTTCGACCCAAATACCACAAATCTCCACTTTAGAACGAACTCTACATAAACAAGAGAACAAACTAGCTTTCATCATGCAGTTTTATCAACTGCATACAATTGAAAAACTTTCTACTTGACAATGTCTTCTCCTTCTCCGATAAAGCAATGTCCATATTCTCTGATCCTTTCAACGCTTATAACATACCCTGTTGAATAAGAAGGGCTTGCATATTCGAGCGCCACAAACCGAAATCATTCACACCGATAAATTTCTCAATCTCATACTTTGTTGACGACATCTTTTCCACGCTCACCGCACCAGTTTGTTGTGAAACGATGTCGTCAATAACATAACAAAATATGAGAAAAAGATTGAGTTACTTGAATAAACACAAAAAATCCTATTAGGTTTTACAAAAGCGATAGAAGAAGGAAGAATAAGAATAGAGAATTGGTTAAAACTCTTTTACTATGCACTTTCTCAATAAGGGTTCAAAGATTTCAAGTGAATACCAACAATTAACCTTTCTCATCCTAATTAGGATTTACACCACATTACAAAGATGAGGGACTAACATGTTATTTATAAGAAAACTAACATATTAATCTAATGAGCTTTTACACACAGACCCATTACACAAGCTAACTTAGGGAACAAACTAACTTAAACAATTGGACATACTAACTTAAATTACAAGTTAATATATTTTGACAGTATGCTCGAACAAACTTCGACTACATCATACACAACTCATGTCGAACCATGAAGTTACCATTGTCAAGACTAGAGTTCAATCCAAATACCACAGTGAGTGTCATGTAATTTATAACTACTTTGAACTAATTTTCAACAACTTCTTTCAACCGTCTCAAAACACTGGACATGATATTTGAAAAACTTCACCTTTCAAACATAGAGTGTTTTTGCTAGATTTGAATGAGTCTTGTTCTTCAAATTTAAAGTTATATATTTTACATCGAACATAATAAAGAATACACAGACATGTCAAATTATGTGTATCACCTTAGAAAACACAATATTGCTAGCATGAGTATTTGAACTTTACTGGATGTCAAAAATGTCAAATGCAAATAATATATCTTCTCATGTTTGACTACTTTACTTAAAACGACATTGAAGATTGTCTATCCCATATTGAAACCTCCAATCCCCAATCCCATAAATGAGAAAACTACAATAAAAAATCACACATGCTTGTTTCTCGCATACACATTATACACCAGAATCTGCCGACATAAGTGACAAATTTCTATTTCATAAATAAAAAATTCACATGCACATTTTTCTTCACAAATACTCTAGTCTGATATATCAACCATAAACATCTCTAACAAATCATGTCGGTATTTAAAGTCTGAAAACGAACTGCAATAAACCACATGTTCTCGAATTGTATTTAATAAATGAATCTTTTGAATTGAGCTCAAATGCTTAGAGGTGCATGAATGGAGAAAAGCCGCCAATGGAATCCAAGGGAGTACTAAACATTTAAAAACAAAGTGAGTGGTAAGTTTAGTTAGTGCATACCATTGTATAGTTTTGAAAATTGACAATTGTGGGACATAAAAAATGGAGATACCGTGAAGGTGGGCATGTTTAGATAAAAAAAGGGCACGTGATATTAACAAGTTGCCATAAACAATTGTACAAGTGGAGTGTGAGACAGCGCATCTAATCTCTAATATCTTGTTTTGTGCTAAATGGATATTTGTAAATAGTCTTTAACCTCATCCCAACTAACAACAACTTGCTTCTTTATTTAATCATTCCATCTTCTTTTTTCTTAGTCTTCTCTTCTTTTTTCAGCACACAGATTCATCATGTATCGTCCTCCTTCTTCTTCTGCTTCTACTTCTTCTTCCTCTTCTCAGCAACAACAGAGTTCCATTAGCCAAACTGGCCTCACAAGATACGGTTCTGCACCCGGCTCTCTCCTCACCAGCACCGTCGATGCTGTCTTAGGAGGATCACGCCTTCTCCCGGGAACCGGACATTATTTCTCCGGTGACTCCAGCCACCTGCAACCGCAACAACAGCAACCGCAACAGCAACAACACCAACAGCAGAGATCTTCTTACGAAGGCTTTGATGGATCATCTTTAGTCCGCCAGAAAAGCTCTCCCGCCGGTTTCCTCAACCACCTCGCCACTCTCAATCATAATAACAGCGGTATCTCAATAAAATTTCTTCTAATTATCATAATTATGCTAATAGTCAACGGATTTTATTAAATTAGAATTAGAATTATATAGATCTCAATCATAATAAATATTAATTCTATTTTTGTTTGATTTCAATTTTCATCCTGAGCAATGAAATTGAAAAACATTATATATTAATTGCAGCCGGGTTCACAATCACGCGAGGCGGAAACGGAGGATCAAGATTGAAGTCTGAATTGAGCTTCACCGGAGGAGGACAAGGACAAGAATGTCTTTCTAGAATATCCGAAAATGGCGTTGATTATGCAGCAGTAGCGGCAGGAAATGGATCATTGCATAACAGTAACTGGAGTGGAGGACCTGATAGTAATAATAATAATAACAATAACAATTCGAATTCTATAGTGTTTTCTTCTTCTGTTTCTCAAAATCAAACTAATAATAAGCGTTCGAGTAGAAACGACGACGATCCCGACCTTCTTCTTCATTGCCTTAACGCCCTCGAATCTCAGGTAGTACTAGTAATAGTAGCTTTTTTCACAATCCATCGTATTGATTCATTAAATGCTTCTACTTGTGATCTAATTCAGTATAGTCTCCCACAAACTTCTATGGAAATGGACAAGCTAATGCATATTCCTCAAGACTCCGTCCCTTGTAAAATCCGCGCCAAGCGTGGCTGTGCCACTCATCCCCGAAGCATCGCTGAACGGGTAATTACTCTATTCTGCCCTTTTTTTAGTCTCTATTTCAATTTCAAATACTATATTATTGCATTGCATGTATGTAGGAGAGAAGAACTAGAATAAGTGGAAAGTTGAAGAAATTGCAGGATCTTGTGCCTAATATGGATAAGGTATTATTGCTTTCTTAGTCTTGATTGAAAGTTGCACTAGTAGTAGTAATAGTAGTGAAGTATTTAGGTGAATTCAGATTCAGATGAACCTATTTAGCTATGAATCGGTCATTGTGTGAATTACTAAAGCTTGAACTCGAGTTGACCTTGAGAGCATTATCAAAAATTCAAATAGTTACAATAATATGAGAGCATGATCAATAGTCGATAATATCGCCAAACCAGTGTTTAACCGTGTATATTATAGGTTGCTTAATGTTGTTTCAAAATGTCACTGTAGCAAACAAGTTATTCAGACATGCTAGATTTGGCAGTTCAACATATCAAAGGTCTTCAAACTCAAGTCCAGGTATGTAAAAAGAGCTTCCTACGAATACAGCATTCTTAATACTAACTCGGTTGATCTTGATTACAACATCTTTTCACCGTTTTTCAGAAGCTTCATGAAGATCTTGAGAATTGCACTTGCGGATGTAAACAAAATACATAAACTTACTATGTTTTATGAGAATCAATGGCACTGCATAGAAATCAAGGTTTTGATGGAAACTGATTTTTGTACCTTCCAACTTTAAAAACGAATAAGGAAGGAAATTGTACATACAGTTTATGTTATAATCTACCTGTGGTAGACATAGTCTAGAAATATCTATTCCTTTTCCTAATTTGATAGTTGTATTTGAAAGTAGAAGTTGATTTTCTTTTGAGTTGGCTTTATTGTTTGAGTAAGTGGAATGAATAACTTATTCTTATAGCATCAGAAGGATAGAAGTGAGGATGAGACTAGTTAGAAAGATAGAATAAAACAAGTATTCACGTAGTTACCATTTTATTTAAGAGCTTAACATATCTATAAATTATAATACTATAGTAGTTATTCTTGTTTGGACTATATATGGTTTGAACAAGATCTTATAAGGTGGGATAATTATCATTACAAACTCATTTTATAGAGTTGAGTTAATCTCAACCATATCTTTTAATATGATATTAAAAGAGGATGCGTTAAGAGTTTAACATCAAATATTATATTAATATGAATATATTTTTATAAGTGGGATAATTATCACTCTACAAATTAGTTTTGTAGAGTTGAGTTATATTCAACCACATTTTTTAATAATTTTTCAAAAAATTAAAAAATTATGAAAATAAACATTATGACAATAATTACGGGTCATTTTTTAATCTTGCGGGTCGGTATTTAAATACATTTCAACCACATTACTATAGGGTAATTATTATAATAATAAATATTATGATAATAATGACCCGTAAAATTAAAAAATTATTTGATATAATATAAAATACATTTAAATACACATGCAAAGTTTAAAATAATTTACTTAATTATAAAATAAAAAATATTCATATAAAAATATGAACGGTAATTTCTTAACATTCTTCGGTAAAAATATTCAAAAAGGTAGATGTCTCGTACTTCATAATTGTATGAATGCTTTTTACATTCACAAACAATGTTTTTTTAGTGGAGAAACACCTATAACACCCTAGATGTTAAGCCATATTGTTTTGCAGAACAGTCGTATACCACCGCATTCATGTTGAAAACAATTACTTTATTTTTCCATTTTAAAAATGATTTCAAGCTCTAGAGTCTTTGTGACAAGAAGACAAAGACGACAATGAATGCACTTAAAATATTAGGGTAACCCATATCAGGAATCGACGTCCATTTATCTCTAGCCTACACACCAAAGTGTTTTACTATTAAGGAATTCCTAACTTTAGCAACCGTGTCATAGAATAATTTGGAAAACAATTTTGGGTGTTGATGAACTTGAGTATTCAACTGCGTTCAGACCAACGACCATGACTCTTCGACCCATCCAAGTGAAGCTGCAATAGCCCGAAAACCACAATTTCCATCATCACCCATATCAACAATGTCATCAATGTATGGATGCAAGAAACCAGAAAACCGAGACAAGTAAAGATGCCTCGAAGATACAGTGGGCAGTTGAATTTGACCCAACATACTTGAAAGTTGACTTTGACTCGACATGCTAGAAGGTCGACTTTCTGTTGGGTTTGTGCGTGATCTCTTTGTAGTATGACTCTACGAGCCCTCATCATACAACTACTGCGAGGGATCACGACGCACATCACTCTCTTCACACTTTATGCTCTTCTTAACTCCCCCTATTTGGCTTGTACTTCACCGGTGGTGGACACATAGAAGTTGTGGTTGACTGTATTAGTTCCCGAACTTTTTTCTTTAATACCCTCTGGCCTATAATATCCAAAAAATTGAAATATGTCTTCAACTCTTCACATTCTACCTCTAAATCCAGCTCTGTGCCATTATCGTCAGGGCTGTTAGCATGCTTTTGAATGTGTAATTTCTTCCAAAAAACATGAATTGGTTCTAAAGGAACAAACAAGCCTTGTATTTGGAAACCAGCAAGTTGACACGCACAAGGTAACCCATGTGTAGTTCTAATGAAGCAACCACAAGTATCCTTGCTTGTATCAAGAAATTTTACCCTTTCTAGCTCCTTCCCTATGTGTTGTATACATTGTCTTGAAACAAAACCATGCAAGTTGGCATAGAATGGAGTGTTATATCGATGCTCAATATTAACAATACTTATTTGAAATGACACTCTGATTGAACCTAACTGCAACTTTAACATGGTGTTCACATCATCCCAACTACGACATAAATCTCTCCGGCTTGTAGTCAACATGTTTTTCAGTCTCCAATTATCAGACTCCATCCTAAATTGCAATAATTAAAATATAATGAACCAACAGGATAAATTATGCTTAGTAATAACCTCGAAAAGAAGTTTGTGTACCTGTTCATTGTTGTGTTCCCTAAAAGGACATTTCACTTTCATACCACTCAGCGAAGATCTCAGCGTAAAGGGACATTTCACTTTCATACTATAAATGTCATCTGAAGATTTACTGCTTTCATATGTAGTTTTTCCTTTTATAATTTCCTCCTCTCTCACAACCCATAATCAATTTATCCTTCCTACCTCGTTGGCCATTTGCAGTATCAGAACGAACAGTCACAACTATAATATCATGTTGCTTACCAGTATGTTATGCCCAGGCTAATACTTTAGCTCAGACCTCAAATATATGTCGTTTACATTATATAAAAAGTATAATATCAATATCATGTACACAATGAAAATATTAAATTTTAACTTGTTACATAGAAAACATACTTTATCTATGGTGAAGAACTGCGTGCAATTGCTACACGAATCCGTATATGACCTTGCCGGTTCTGAACCACACAAAGAAAGCATTTTTGAACTTGCTGCTCTGTTACCTAAAATTTCCAAATTTCCGGTAGTTTTTGCTAGGTACCGAAAATTTTAAATATTTTCGGTATTGTTCCCAAAATGTTTATGCTATTCACCGGATATTTACAAATTTCCGGTATACAATACCGAATATTTATAAATTTCCGATAATGTATACCGAATTTTCTAAAATTTCCGATGTATACATGAGAATTTTCAAAATTTGCGCAACAATGCATACCGGAAATTTCAAACAACTACTGAAAATTTTAACATCTTAGTATGGCGGGCAATGAACCAAACCAACTCGAAAATAGTTCGGAATTCGATTCGACAATTAAATCGTTGATCTAGGTTCATGAACCAAATGAGTTGAGTATGAGCGAAAAATTAAGTTCGTTAACTAAATGAGCTGAACTTGAACTATACATAGTTCGACTCGTTAGGTTCATGAGTCAACTCGATTACATATGAGAAGAATTATACTGTCTTTAAAATTAGGTTTAAATATTTACTCCAAATCTTAGACAAATTTAATCTTCAATTTAGTAGTTTTTGAATTAGACTCTCAAATGTATCTCTTGAAAGTTGTGTAGGTTTTGAATTAGTAGATTTCGAAGATAAAGTTAAATTTCAATATGATAACTTTTATTTTATTTAAAAAAAATATTTATTTAAAATGTCAAATATACTAATATATATATATATATATATATATATATATATATATATATATATATATATATATATATATATATATATATATATATATATATATATATATATATATATATATATATATATATATATATTTTAAAAAAAAGTTTTTAAGTCCGTGAATCATGTGAGTTGAACCTAATGAGATGAACCTAACGAGTTGAACCGAACTGTTCGTGAACTTATAACGAGTCGAGTTTGAGCTTAAAAAAAAGTTCGTGTCGAACTCGAACTCGAACTTAAACTCGAACAATTCTTAACGAGTCGAGCCGAGCTGAGGTGAGTTCGACTTGACTCGACTCATTTCCAACCCTACATCTTAGGTAGAAAAAAGTGAATTTTTGGAAAAATGGTAACTTTTTTAGGTAAATATTAACAGGGGTATTTTTTGAAATATTGAAAATATGGGGGATGGCAGATATGCAATAGGGGGTGGCAGGTTAATTCCTCCAAGCTCCACTGGCAGCAGGTTTCACCATGCCAAAGTAGAAGCCCACACTTAATATGTCTTCTTGTTTTTATTGTTTTTTACTTGAGCACAATAGTATAGACTATGTCAACTATATACCAAGTAGGAGGTCTTGTATGTGATTTGTGTATGTGATCCTTTGGCATGATCCTCTAGGTACATATTTGTAGTCCTTTAGGCCTAGCAAAAATCATAACAACCTTCATACTCCTCCTTGGGTTCAATCCGCTTATTATTAGTTTGGTTGAGTTACATATGCGTTAGGAGCACTTAGAAATAGCAAGACATGTGAAAATCAACATTTTTGCAAGTTCTGAGTCTTTGAGTCGACTCAAAACTTGCTTAGGTCGACTCATGCAGAGTGGATTTTTTGTGATTTACTCTTAGGAGAGCTCACGTCGACCCTCCGGTCGACTCATACTGTGTTCATTTGTATTTGTCAAAACTGGGTTGCTTTGCGTCGACGCATGGACCTGTTTCGGTCGATGCAAAAAGCGTTTTTCTGCATAATTATGTATTCGGGAGAGCTCAGGTCGACCCCCTATTATTTAGGTCGACCGTTCACTCGTTTCACACTATTTTTCTATTATGTTTGTCTTTCAAAGTGTTTGTTATGTTGGTTATTTGGTCATAGCTTTGCATATATATTGTGTTAGCTCATTCTTCACAAAATAACAAGAAAAGTGAAAATATACATTGATTTGATTCTCATCATCTTCATCCTCTTTCTTGCATTTTCTCAATAAATACACATAATCATTTTTGTTGTGCATTCTGCACCATTGAGGTGATAACGTCCAAACATATGATCGGTGTATCGGGTTTGGGTTGAAAAATCAGTGGGTTTTTATTGAATAAAACCGTTAGAGTTTTGTCCTTCAAGAATCTTGGATTTTTGGGGGGTTTTTGCACAAATCGTTCATTCACAGATTCATCAGAGCGGAGGTAATTGAAGAACGGGAGGTTCTGTCAATTTAGTAGCATTAATCAGAGGATTATGGAAGGAAGGTTTGGGTTCGA